CATTTTGCCCATTGATATTCAAAATGAGCATTGGTAGGTATGTGCTTATTGCCATTTTGTGACTTCTTTTCTGGTTGTTGCTGTTTTGTCTTCTTGCTTTAGCCTGTTCCTTTGTGGTTTGATGATTTGCTTTAGTAGTATGCTTGTGTTCATCTCTTTTTAGTTTTGGTCTCTTCTTAGTTTAGTAGTAGACTTTAGTTCATCTCTTTTCATTTTAGCTTTTGTATACCTATTGTAGGTTTTTGATTTGTGGTTACCATGGGGTTCACATATGTTGATGTGTAACTATGTCTGCTTGTTTTAAGCTGCTAGTCATTTAAGTTTAAACATATTGTAGAAGAGCTAAATTTTTTATTATCCCCCTCCCACCTTTTGTGTTTTTGATATCATGTTTTACATTTTCATGCCTATCCCTTAACTATTTACTATAGTTTTAGTTGATTCTATAATTTTGTCTTTTAACCTTGTCACTCGCTTATTTAAGTAGTTGAACCACTACGTTACTATATATCTGCCTTTACCAGTGGTGTTAAAGAACGCTCTTTAACAGTTAAGTTTGGAAAATACTGATTAACTCTCTTAGTTTTTGCTTATCTGAGATGCTCTTTATATATCCTTCAGCTCTGAATGATAACTTGCTGTATAGAGTATCCTAGGTTGTAGGGTTTTTTTCCTTTCAACACTTTGAAATGTGTCATGTCACTCCCTTGTCTTGCAAAACTTGCTGTAAAATCAGCTGATAGCCTTATGGGTGTTCCCTGTATGTGACTCTGTTTTTCTCTTGCTGAAAGTTCTCTCTTACCTTAAACTAAAAGTCGTAACAATATTAAAAAAAAAAAATAATTGCATATAAACTTAAAACTTTCTAGGTGCTTTTTGCCTGGGTGAAATTCCCTTTACTTTGCTGATGGTGCATATTCATAAAACCCAGAGGTGCTAACACTCTAAACTAACCTTATCTGTTTAATTTTGAAAGTTTTTATACAGTGTTAAGCAGAGAAAAACAAAGTATCAATCAGGAAATAGCATGAAAGTTTTGATTATATGCTTTAGTTTAGCCATATTAGAATTAACTTTATTATTCTTATGACATATTAGTAATTTCTGTGAGACTAAATAAATTAAAGGACTTCTGGAGAATTAAATGAGAGGAGGAGTGAAGAATCACTGACCTTAAAATGATGAGGCACAAAGAGAAAAAAAAGGTTCAGAGAAAGAAACACCAAATCTAAGCTACTAAAATACAATTAGCAGTGTGGTAGGATCTTGCCTATTTGCATCTCTCCATGAGGACTGAGAGTCACAGCAATATTTGGAAATCTCATTAATAATGGTGTGACCTGTTTGCCTCTTCCAAATACTTGCTCCCTGGGCCCGTTTCATTGTTATTGGAGACTCTGGCGTTACTTGTGGTTGAGGGTGGGGTGAATGGTTGTGAAGAGGGCTCTGTATGAGGTTGGGTAGGGAAACAGGATGAAATTCTAAAGCCTCAGTATCAACAACTTGTCTTCTACACCATTGATAATTTTTATACTAACCTCTACCATTTTAGAATGAATTTTAAAATTTTAAATGGTTATTATTACTGGTAAATTATAAAACTATATTACTATTCAAGTTTTTCATTCTGGCACTTGGAGAAAAAGCAGTGGAAATTGTAATTTAGTTAATACTATAACATTATTTGCCAATGGATTCTCCAGGCAAGAACACTGCAGTGGGTTGCCATTTCCTTCTCCAATGCATGAAAGTGAAGTCGCTCAGTCGTGTCCAACTCCTAGCGACCCCATGGACCACAGCCTACCAGGCTCCTCCGTCCATGGGATTTTCCAGGCAAAAGTACTGGAGTAGGGTGCCATTGCCTTCTCGGATATAAAATATAACAATGTTTAAATATAATTTATTTAAAATTTTATCTCATTGTGTAATATATATAAGACAAATTATCTACTTAATTTTATTTCTTCTATAAGTAAGATTGCAACTAGAAAGTAGAGTAAAATTTACACCAAGAACTTCACCACTCTATTTCTTCTAGGTATCCCTTAAGACAGTATGGCAAAGTAGTTAAGACTACATATTTATTAAAAGATTGAACTGGATTGAACCCTGATTCTGCTACTGATTAACTTTTTAGCTGTGTGTCCTCAGTCAAGTTTCTTAATTTCTTATACCCTCAGTTCTTCTGTTTATGAAAGAAAGATAATTATAACTACCGTACCAGGTTGTTATAAAGATAAATTTCATACAGTACACACTGTACTATATGTAATATACTGATACTGTATGTAGCAACAGTGATTTCAGTTAATAAAACTTCAAAACATGGTAGATGTTACTATTCTGAAATTCACATTGATCCTCATGAAACAGCTATGTGAATAAGCAGTAGAACTCTGGATGATGTAAATTAGACATATGAAAGGCCTCTTATCAATTATTACCTTTTATAAATGAAAGAACCAGAGTCTTGGACCAAGAGGCCCAGATACTATTCAACATTACTGGTATTGGCTGCTGGAGATAAAACTAAGAAGCAAAATATTTGATTGCTTGTCTAAACTTTATCTTTTCAAATTCCTCTATAATGGCTGAATAGGAGAGAACAGATGTCGTTTTAAAATGAGCAGATAAATATGCTTAGAGTTAGGCTCAGGGTAGCTTTGGATAGAGGAGGTTTCAGAGCAGCAGTACATCTTGTGTGTATAAATGCACAGTCAAGGGATCAATCAAAATGCTTCAGTTTCTTTTGTTTTAGGGCAGTGTCCCTGGAAATGAAGGGAATGAGACTTCTTAGGAAAGGCCTCCTTAAAACACAGGCCTGGGATAAATGAGATAAAATATTCTTCTAAGGTAGTAGCAACATTGGTTTATTCAGTACCTATCAGTGACATGTGGAAGGTATCAGTGACATGTTCATTCTTTTAAGTAGGTAAAACAGTGTTCAAGAAGGCAAATACATGTCATGATAGTTTGTCCAAATTCCTGATATATGAGTCCAAATACTGTAAAATTCCACCAGAATTATACTTTGTTTCCATAAGGTTATATGGCATGGGATATGTCTAAGACCATGAGAACATTTCTTTGCCTTAAGGAATCCTTCCTAGATGAGTAGAAGCACCATCTAAAGTACAATTGTGGAGAGCTGACTTCAGTGACTTGGCAAAACTTTAAAAGGATAATTGCAATGCAGTTTGAGAATAATGTAATTATTATTTTTCCTTAAAAAAAAAAAAGCTTCTACTTTTCTCACAATAGAATGGTTCCTCTTGTCTTCTCTCAACTCCCAGTAAATGAATTAGCACTCTATCTCAGATTGAAAGAGATTGAACAGAAGGAAAGATAAGAAATGACTAAAATGGATGAATCTACTGAAGTGAAATGTGACTGAGTAGGAGAGAATCAACAATGAGAAAGACACTAAGGGAATAACTCCAAATCCTAGATTTTAAAATTCAAACTCTAGCTACTTTAAAAAAATCTTTAAATGTTGAGTTTGCTTTCGAGAATCTAAACCAACCAAGGGTTGATCTTGTTTTATGTGGTAATGCAGTTGTTCCTTTAGACTTTCAAAAAGTTTGGTAGGGCATTTCGGATTAACTAATTTAAACTATTTAAATTTCATTTATAGGAACCACACACATTTCAGCATAATTTGTATGCTTCTGATATCACTTTTCCCAAACTGTGCATGAGGTGTCTTCAAGCACTGTGGTACACTCACCAGGGTGCCGCAGAACATCTTAACTATTTAAGGGAAGCATAGCAATACTTGACATCTGTCAGGTATCCATGAACTACCAGCTGGAAGGGGTTCACCGCTTTATGATTACATTTGGCTCTGTTCTCTTACACGATGTCATATTTAGCAAAACTAAGCAGCGTGAAAATCAGTGTGTAACAGAAGATGAGGGTGGCTATGTCCTGTTTGATTCCAAGGCTTGGGAAGTTCCCATTATAATATATTTCCTAAGAATGACACAAGTTTTATATATATATATATATATATACATATATATATATATATATACATGATTCACCTGTATTACTGTTTTAACTGGCTACTAGGTTTATAGAACATAAATAGTTATGTTATTGGGCCCTAACTACTTAATAAACAGAACTATCAGGTTCTTTGTTTTGCCTATGTGTACCAGGGTAAAGATTACTAAGATCTAGGTGCCACAATATAAGAAAGACTGGAAGCTTTTGTTCTAACATTTGCATGCATGTATAAACAGGGATCACATCACAAATAAATGATGCTTTATGCAATTGATTTTCTACATGTAGAATAGCTAATGCTGGGAAAAACAGTTCTAGGAGATTGTATTTAAATATATGATTCAGAGGTGAAACTAACCCTCAGGAAGCTCCCTTCCCCAGGGGATCTTCTCGACCCAGGGATCAAACCCAGGTCTCCAGCATTGCAGGTGGATTCTTTACCATCTGAGCCACCGGGGAAGCCCCAATACAGATAAACTTCAGAAGGAAGAAGTGAGATATCAAATATTGAAAGCCAACCTTGTTTTACTCCATTTTTCTCCTAGTCTCTACTTAGATTCCATTTTACTCTGAGGATTCCTCAGGCCAAATACACTTTTCTTCATCTCTAATATGTTTTTCAATACTAACCCTGTAGAACTAGCTACAAGTAAAGTAATCAGGCAAACATATGTATATGCTTTGTTCCTTTGAAGGTTCTTCAGTTGCATAAAAAAGTAACTTTTCTATCACTTTTATTTTCATAAATTATACATTGCTTTGTAGGACATTAGAGAGTCAGCTACTAGATGTTATCCATGTATTTCAGCCTTACATTTTATTGACCAAAATTTATAGATTGCATTGTTCTGTAACTTGTCTTTCACGACTTGTCCTCACTCTACATCATGACCCTTTAGGTAATTTCTTGGTGCAGGGACAGCTGAATTTGCCAATTTAAACTTATACTAACCCAAGGAGTCATAGCTACTAATAGGTTATTGTTACAGTACCATGCTCGTTGATCTGACGTAGACGTTGTTTTTCAGATGGCAGTTTCCGTCATTTGGCACCACTATGCCTGCCAATTTGCTATCAAGAGCAAGATGAGATGTCTGATCTGTCATCACCAGCAGCAATCTTTTAGCTTCTTTTCGCCATCCAATATGATTCTTAAAATAAACATGTAATTAGATCTTGTACAATAGCATAGATCTTTACTGTGGTCTGTATCTCAAGTAAACATTAAATATAAGTTAACAAACATTAAGTCAGGCTAGAATTATGTGCATAAATTCAATGCTGTTTCACAAATAGCATTAACTTTCATTTGTATATCCTCTTCCACAGCCATTAAACCGCACTTGTTCCTGGCAAGAGACTTCTGGTGTTACCACAGAAGGGGAAAAGGCCAGGTTTACGAAGTGCAGACTGCCTAATGTGATGTGAGTAGGACAACAAGCTATTTCTGGTTCTTCCTTTCAGAGTAGTGAGTGAAAAGAACAGCCCTTTTGGAAATGATTTTCCAAGAACATAAATTTTTCTTTCCCTTGTATCTTTTCCTATTTATAACTTCTAATTTAGTCCCTCTGTCCTGAACACATACCAAAATGAGTATCATTGGTGACAAACAAGAGATAGGAGAAGAATGTATTCTTTTATGCTATGTTTCACTCCATATATCAAAGAGAAATCATAAATTCTTGGGGAATTTTATATCTGAGCAAACACTCAATAATATGAAACTTCTTACCTCACAGACAGCTGCCTGAAGCATAGCATCAAAACCTCCTTCAGGTGTATCTATATTTCCAGAGATCTTCTGTCTGTGAACTGCTTTTTCAAACTCAGTAATGTTCTCCGTCAAAGACAACACATGGATATACCCATGGGGAGGCATACAGTCTAGGTTGTAGTCACTGTATGGGTAAAGAAGAAATGCAAATTGTTTTGCTATGTGTCCTTCAAAGATCCAAAATATTACTCATGTAAAAGTGTGTGGTTGATGTGAGAAGAGAATACTTTTTTTTGCCAATAAAACTTTTTTAGAGAAAAATCTATATTTTATAAAATCAGAGAAAAGCTCAATATTGCTGAATATTTCTTTGCAGGTAGGAATATAATGGCTTGGTTTCAAAACATAAAGAAGATTAAGCATGTTCCTTTAATATAGGACACCTAAGGGCTTTTATTATGCTAATAAACACTGTTAATTTTTAACAGGAGATGAGAATTTTCAGTGATTTCCTATCGGATTTGTTCATGGAACAACTGAAAAACACTTTTGGGGAAATATTTTTAGGAATTTAGTTAAAATACTATACTTTTGTTAGATATTTTAAAATACTTTGCTAATTTTAAAGCGATTCTTATAGAATCATTGATGAATGGTCAAAATTCATTAAAATTGTTTTGAGAATCCATGATGTCCTCAAAGGTAAGGATTATTTCTCAGGTGCATCTGTGCTTGGGGAGAAGGTGTATGAAGCTCCATATGGAGATGCATCTGCTGCAGCAGACAGCCAGGCTGTTTTGGTAAATTAGACTGTACACTGTAAAGTGATTTGGGCAATGTATGGAAGTCAGAAAGAAGATAATAAATTAAATGTTTTGTTAAGGAAGAACTGAACACATTTATATTTGCTCTCCTTAAATTCAACAGGCTAAATGTTGTGTGAAAAATTCGTATTTTAAAGGCTGGTTTTCCTTTCATAGTAGGGCACACACTAATTATAATCAGCCTTCCAAAATGATCAGAAAAAGAGCTCTTTCTAGCAAACAAATTCTCATCTTTTGACCTACCTACTCTCCATGTGCTAGTTGAGTTTTCTTGGAAATAACATTATAAGCAACATAATTATAAACACAGTCACAATATAGTAATGGAAATGTAGGTGCAATACTGGCAAAATAAGTACTTTAAAATTGGTAAGCCTTGCTTCAGCAAATTTGGAGCAATAACAAAAAGAAATACAGAATATTCAAACAGGTATTTATATATGTGGTAGCCTGATTATTGGATGTTTGTAATAAAAACTAAGTGAAAAAGTATAAAAATAAAAGCCCCCTTCAATCTTAGAAGTTTTCAGATAGGAACGTCCTTCCCCTATAAATATTTTTATCTCTCACTTAATTAAAAATAGATAACTTAGTAAGTCCTTGATATAAAACCAAAATGAGATTTTACAAGATTTTAAACTTGTTTAGCATTAGGAGGTCCATGTCTAGTATTAGATACCTGCATTGGTTATGAATTCTTTCTGGATGGATACTAATGTATGGTGAAACTGTTTTATCAACGTATGAGCCAAATCCAAGGCGAAAGTCACGGGAGAAAAATGCCATTTTTCTAGATAAGTCATTTCCAACTGAATTTAATTTTTCAATGTTATTGTGCATTGATGCTGAGACATCAACCAGATAATAAAGATCCACAGGATATTTCTTCAGAGGATGAATTTTCAGCATAAAATTAGCTTCAGCTCCTAGTTCAAAGAAAGACAAACATAGTGTAGTATTCATTTTTAACATCTCAAGTTAAGCTATCAATAAATCAGTCACATTTTAGATATAGAACAGTGATCACTAATTTGTGCATGATGAAGGAAATCGGGAATATTCTGGAATAATTTTAAGGCAGTTAGAAGAACATAACCAATGTTTTAGTCTCCAACTTCTACAAAGCATTTCTCATAATTTTATGGGGCAAAGATAACAGGAAACAGACCAGCTCAATATAAATGTAATAGGGAATATATTTATCACCATATGAACCTGCTTTTCTAGTATCTAGTAAAGCACAGCCCAGACATCAGGCAGCATTCTATTATGAGACTAGATGATTGTGTTTGTTTGCAGGTTACTTTTAGGTTTGCAGACTTCCAGAAAGGCATTCTAAGAAAATTTACCCCTTATTGGATGCAGGTGTAAATTAATTAATTTGGGTTAAGGTATATTTATATATGAGATGCAGAAACTCTGGTACTAAGAAGTACATTAAGCTACTCAGAATACTTACTATCTCATCATGAGTTGTTTGATAAGGTTCTTCCTGACCATTAGTTGTAAGAAGAAATGAGACAGCAGTCTAAAGAGTGATATGCAGCAGCCACATGAGAACCTAGGCTCTGTGGGGACCGCATTTGTCCAGTGCATAATGAGTGCTTGGTAAGCGTATATGTTGAAGAGGGAACACAGAGGCGAAGGAACTGGATGAGGAAAGGTCACCATAAGGAGAGTTGTTGGAGGCTCCAAAAGACAGCTGTCTTTGCAATACAGTTTTATTTAGTTCTCTGGCCATTATCATGTGATACAAAGATCTGGTACCTTGCAGAATGAGTACTTCTGTATTTAACTTTTTAAAGTATGTGGTAAAAAGTTATCAATTTAAATATAGATAATTTGTGAATTTTACTTTTTTATACAATAAAGCAAATTCTTTGTAAGTCATTAATTATTTGTATATGGGGAATATTTTGAATGGAAAAAAATGAATAAATACCAATTTGAGTATATAATTAGTAGCCTGCTCTACTTATGAAAAGGAATCCTATAATTTATCAAATCATTTTCAGTCTTAATATACTTAAACATATAGGATATTTAAAGCATAATAACAGCACAATACAGCATAAGAATAGCAACATTATAAACTTATTTAGTAGTTCAGATGTTTTTCAGCCAGATATGAAATGTATTCAAAATAGTAAGCTTTTTTGTTTATTAATATTAATTATGGGAGAAAGTGGCTATTTACTTATTCCTAAATTTGCCTTTACATGCAGGAAAATTCTTTATTATAACATCTCTGTTTCATCAGCCTGAGTTTGGGAGGAGAAATTGGGTTTGCATAGCCCAGCCCAGTCAACTTTCTTACTCCATTTTTTAGGAGCTTGGCTGCCTACAGAGAGCATATATTCAGTTCTGCTTTCTAAGTATTTGGTGAAAAAGCCTACCCATGGAAGTGACCTGAAGTTTGGGTAGAGAAGTTTAATTCAAGAGAATGATAGAATCGGGTAGACAGAGCTGAATTGATGAAAAATAGAAATGGAGTATGTTGGGAAGTGTAGTTCATGTGAAGGAGCTTGCATTTTAATATGTAGGTCAGCTTTTAATTTTCTTTTTTAATTTGTGTAGTTGTTTTTTAACTGTTGATTTAGGCATATGGCTGGAGGCATAGGCACTGGCCACATAGTATTTTCACCTTGATGGATCATTGTAGTTTATGTTGGCTCTGCCTAAATATGAATGGCTGCCTATTTTGACAGTCACTGAAAAATACATCAGATATTCAGTGTGTTGTGTGAGTTGTTATATTGTTGGTTGGTTATCTCAGCCACAGGCAGAGCCTGGACAGAGTCAACAAAAGCACAGTCCTTGGAGGCCTGAGCTATTCGGGGCGCTCCAGGGATTCAGGGGCCTTCAGCACATATCAACTGCACACAGCTGAGCAACCAAATCCTAGGCTCACCAGCCTCAGCAAAGAAGAGGGTTTTTAGGAACCCTTGCCAGATGATCAGGGTTAGAGGGTGTAGTCTGCTGTGGCTTGATTTTGGATTACATAGATGCTGGCATTAGCGCATGTACCTGGGTCAGCTGAAGACCTCAGCATGGACTGACACCTCAGTAAGACAAATTTTCACTATAGGAGAAAGGAAAATCTTTCTGTACACAGGCCTTTTACTCATTGATGGAGAGAACAATAATCACTACTTTAAATTTGCAAGGCACTTGAGTTTCCCAAAAGGTTTTAGCTTTAAGCAGTAAGCTTAAGGTGGGCAGCCCTAAATAGGCTGACCCCAAACCACTCTGCTTGTTAAGGAAGAAGATGAAGGGGCCAAGCTTAGATTACCACATTTTGCCAATGAGCAAATGACACTCCATGACACTCCCTTGTTATGCTCTCAGATTGGCTTTGGATTAAATAATTGGATATGAAGCAGAAACCTTCTCTTCATATAGGCAGTAGAAATAAATACCTTTTCATGGGAATATGGATACTATGTCCCTTGATAAAATCCTCATTCAGTTCATAGTGGGGTTCCACCAACACTGGGCTCAAAGGGAAAATGACATTAAAAAGGTTTTGAATATACTGAATGAGAAAGAATCAAGTCTAAAAACAATATCTGTGGCTATCACCATTGTAATATAAAGTCCAGCAGAAAAGTCTTAAATGCTACTCCGAGAGAGGAGTTACATGGGGGTGGATTATGTTAGTGAGTAAGAGCTACTAACTGAAGTGATCTATCGAAAATATTTACCACAATATTTGGCATCTAGTAAATTCCCAGATGGCATTAGTGATAAAGAACCTGCCTGCCAATGCAGGAGACACAAGAGACACCAGTTTGATCCATAGGTCTGGAAGATCTGCTGAAGGAGGGCATCGCAACCCAGTCCAGTATGCTTGCCTGGAGAACCCCATGGACAGAGGAGCCTCGAGGGTTGCAGTCCACAGGATTGCATAAAGTCAGACACGATTGAGTGACTTACCATGCATACACAAATATATAGACACCAGTAATTATTACCATTATTGTTACTACTAGATTCTAAGCAACATCAGGATAAGAACTATTTATTCATCTCTGAAGCCTCTGATTTGGTACATGCATAGCCACTCATAAATGTTCTTTAAACTATAATTGAAGAATATTTTCATACAGCATTTCAAAAGGCCCACATATATACCATAGTAAGAAGCTGATATTTATAATTTCTTTTTTTAAAATTTTGATATTTATAATTTCTTTCGCATAGTTCAGGAGATCTTAAATATTAATAGTTTCTCTCTATAAGAGGAAAAGCGTATCATCTGGCCTTCAAATATTTATGTCACCACTTACGTTAGCTGCAGGAAAGCTTCATCTTCATAATTTGAGATTTTAAAGGCTCTAATCCTATTCCCTTGATTAACTTCAAAGGCAAAAAAAAAAAATTTTGTGATATAGATAAGAAAGAGGACTTGGAGGAAAGTTGAGACCTACTTACAGCTATTGCTGATATTGGTTTGAATAGACCAAAGAACTAAAGTTGTTAGAATGAGTTTTAAATCACTCAACTAATGGTGTGAGCATCTCTGAAGAACTAGTTGCAACAAACATGTCTGGACACTAAGAAAAGATAACTAAAAAATATTCTGCATAAGATGAAACTAACAAGTCATAAGAAAATATGGAGACATGTAGCAGGAAGAAAGAGCTGCCAATTTCTATTCATTGTCTTTGGGCAGGGGAAGGAGAAGGTCCAAGAATGAGACAGGTTTGAAACAGCAAGGTATAGACTCCAGCACATTTCTGGATTTCTGTAGGGGTAAAATAAGGGATATGGGCCAGGTGTTGAGCAAAAGTGCATGATTCTGTGTTTTTTTTTAAGTTTTGAATTCAAGAATACCTGAAGAGTCTTTACATTTTAAATTAAGCTACACTAAATCAGTTTTTTCTTTACATTATTAAAATAGTTTGAAACATTTTCTTCAGTTAGTGAAGTATAAATTATACTAATCCCTGTCATATATTACTTCTGAAGCAGAAATCAAGAATTTTCTTCTCTTCCCTACCCTCCTAAAGATTTCATCTCATTTCACTGTTCTTAGGGAATATAAACTAGAATCAGTGGCCTATTTCTGTTATTTCTCCATAAGATTGATAGGTAAAAATAAGAAAAAGAGGTATAGTTTAAGAAATAGAAAGTAAAAGGAAGTGTCTTTTAAAAATCTCATTTAAAATACTTGATTGCGTGTATTTTGTACATATTCTTAATATTCTTTTAAAAGCTTAGTCAGTATATGATATAATAGAAATATCCATAAAAGCTTTAAAAAATTCTTAATAGAAGGTTATGAATTTTTATCAGACAAAAATAAAGTGATTATCTATAAATAAATCTAACAAATAAATATTAGTATTAGGGAATAAACATATTTTACACATAGGATGCATTGTAACAGACCCTCAACTCTTATCTCTGTGTTAGAGTGTAAAGGAGTTTTACATCATAAGGAATGAGGTTTATGTATATATATATGGAATTGGTAAAATTCCAGATACAGCTTTATATATTATGCCCCAAAGCTGGCATGTCTTTGATGCCACAGTGCATTTTTGGATGAATTTATTAAACCTACTTCAATAATTATTTGCTATATATGCAGATTATAAAAATATAGTTTTTCATAGCTATAGGAAGGATAACTTATACACACTAGACAATTATAGTATTTTCATACACAGATTCATTAGTATTGACTAAAATCAAGCCCCATAATGATTTCACCAATCTCTGGGGACAAAACCTCTGCATTATCTCTCAAGTCTGGCCATTTTTCTCCTGCATTGTTACCACCACTGCCATTGCTTATCTACAGCACTGAAACAATTTCTCAAGTTTTGAACTATTATTTTATAGTTTCAGGAGGATTCAGCCACCATTATTTCTACAAAAGAGAACAAATTAAATTCATAAAAGTATATAAATTTAACTGTAACATACAAGTAGAAAAAATGCACCTTGTAATTTTCAAATCTTAAGTATTTTAAAAAAGAGCAAGACATTTAAAAAGGCTATTAGTCATATTTTTAGAGGCAAATAATACATGATAAGACTCATCTGTAAGCTGTTGAAAATTAACATTCGGTGAGAAAAATAAGCAAATTTGTATGAATGGGGCAAATCACACACAAAATAGAGAGGTAAAGATAGTTAATAAACTTAAGGAAAAGGTTCAATCTTTCTAGTACTAGGAACAAAACAAAAGAAAATGGCTAATGGACTAGTTATACTTAACAAACTGAAGAGATTAAAAAGAATGAGAAATAGGCAAAGTTGATTCTGGAAAGCTTAACTGGATATGAATTTTTCTTGTGAATAGTCTAATAATATATATAACCTAGTAAATCAATGACTAGAAATGTATCCTAAATAAATAGGTTGTTATATATACATGGAGAGACAGACAGATATAGATACATACGTGTATGAGTATCATTGAATATTTGTTCCAACAAAGTGCATTCAAGTTTCATTGGGATTGTCTTACATTTATTGATTCACTTAGATTTTGTTATATTACTGGCATATATATATATGTGTATAGAACTGTAATTGTTATAATATTATTTTCCTTTTCAGGAACATAGAATTCTTCTGCATTTATTCATACTGGCTTTTAGGTAGCACAATGGACTCTACATATTTTTTAGAAAGTTTATTGCCAGACAGTTTACATTTTAGGTTGCTGCTTTGAAATGCTCTCTTTTAGATTACATTTAATACTACATAGGAAATTCATTGATTTTTGAATATTTAAAAATTTTCCTTTCACAGCCTTTTAACTATAGTATTAGTTTTGTTTGATTTGCTTGGATTTCTGTGTAGACATATAAAATTAATTTCGCTTTATCTTTTCAATATGTTTATCACTTGTATTTGGTTTTCTTGTCTGATTGCTTTTATATAAAACTTTCAGAAGCATTTTAATATGTATTAACAAAGTATTCTTAAATTTCATTTGGGCAGGAATGGACACTAAATTTAATTGTATGATTTCTGGCATCTTGAGATAACAATATATATTTTTCTTCTTTTGGCAAACTAAGAAAATAAAAAATACACTGATTTTAGGACAAGCAACTGTTGTTAAAGGTTAAATCTACTTGTATGGTGACATTGTTCTTATTATAATATGAAGTTTAATTTGATTCTTTAAAATGTTATTAGGGATTTGATCCTAAAGTTATGATAACTTGTAAAAATTGAGTAGCTTCTATGCCTTCTCAAAAAACCATGGGAGAATTTATGTAGCCTAGGGATAATGTGTTCCTTGAATGTTTAGGTGAACATTAAAGTGTATTTCCCATGAAAATATTTAGACCTAATGTTTTTAGGGAGAGTTTCTTTTAGAATTTTCTTAACTTCTTGTATCTTTATTAGATTTCTTAGGGTTCTACTTCTTCTTGAGTCAATTTTAGTCATCTCTTTTCTCCTAGGAAATTATTTTTATCATAATTTATATATTTTACCATTTTTAATATATTTTACTATTTTTAATATTTTGAAGTTTTTCCCCCAATATTTTTTCCTCTGGTCATAGTCTGTATAATTAGGTCATTTGCTTTGGGTCTTCTTTTTCTAATTGGCTTTGCCAACAATTTAACTATTAGATTTATACACTCATTTCCCTTTTAATTTCTATTTCTTATTTCATTTTGTTTTTTTCTTAACTAATTAATTTCTTCCTCTTGTTTTCCTTACAGTTACTTTGTTTTTGTTGTTCCTATATCTTTATCTGTATGCTTCATTCTTTTTCAATAAGAGCATTTAAAGTTCTGTGTTTTCCTGAGAGCAACTTTGAACACATCCCCTTATGTTCTGATGTGTGCTGTTGTTATTATCATTATTATTAAATTGTCTATGACTAGAATTTTGATTTATTCTTGGAGATAGAATTTATTTAGGAGAAGCTTTCCTTGGTTTCTCTATTATTTAATATTTGTTAATCATCTTATATTGGTTTCAAATTTTATTGCAAGGTGTTCAGAGATGTTGGCCTATAAAAACAGTTTCACTTTTTAGAGTTCAGTTTTTTTTGTATAAAATAAAATTAATTTCTAAAACTATTTCATGAACTCAGAAAATATTATTTTATATATCAAGGACTATGGACTGAGTTTTGTCCCCTCCCCCAATTTATATATTAAAGCCCTAACTCACAATATGGTAATGTTTGGAGATGGAGCCTTTGGGAGTTGATTAAGTTTAGATGATGTTCTGAGGGTCGGGTCCTCATGAGGGAATCATTGCACTTATATGTAGATACAACAGAGAGCTCCTTTTCTTTGTGTCACTCTCTCCCCCTTCAGAAACTGAATCTGGCAGTGCCTTGATGGCAGACTTTCTAGGTCCTAGAACTGTGAGAAAATAGATTTCTATTGTTTAAGCTACTTACTATATGGTATTTCATTATGGCAGCAGTAGAAGGTGGCAAGTGTCATAATACCAACCTAGTTACTTTCATTTTTGTGTATCCCTTTGCAGCTGACATTCATTTATGTCCATACTAGTCTGTATAATTGTTTGATATGGTGACATGCACAGTTTTAATTTGAAGCTGAGAGTATGCCTAGGGCCAAGAAAGAAATGCACTTTGTTATTGTGGTAATCTGGACTTTCTCTATTCTGGTAATTTAGAGAAAAATAGCTTGGAATTGGCAGGGCATTTGTCGATAATGGTTATTCAAAAATTTAGTAACAGGACAAGGCCACCCAAAATGAAATAATGAAGGCTTGAAGGCTACTGCATACCACTTAAAACTAAATGTATCTAATTTAGTGATGCATATCTTTGTACTTGAACTTATCTTGCCATATGCAGTTTGTTCGTTGAGATTCTCTGGCACTAAAGAAAATGAATGATTTCCAGTGGCCTACTACATATGCCAAACTGTGGAATACAAATGTATGGAAGGAAAAGTATGAGAGAAGTATAGGAGGAAGGGTGTGCATTACTCTCAGGGACTAAAGCAGCTCGAGTTAATTATGATAATTATGAATTATAGTTTTGTTTTTAAAAGCTTATCACAAAGGCTCTAAGACTAATTCACATCTCTTACCAATTAATCAACTAACAAATTCAGCAAACACTTATGGAATGCTTACTACATGCCAGCACTCTGATAGGCATTGGAAAAACAGAATGGAATAAAACATGTTCTTCTTCTTATACAGAGCTGGCAGTGTCCTAGGAACACAATTAGAGTGTAATGTGATCAAGACTGGAAACACATAATTATAATATAGCGTGGTCAGGTTTGCAGAGAATGTCCGAGGCCACACAGCTATAGCTATAGGCACAAGAAAGACTAGAATTCTGATTTCTTGATTCTGAGCCCATTGTTATTTATACAGCAACAATACTGCCTGTCATAAAATGTTAATATGAACAAATAAGGCTGGATAGGGGCTTCCCAGGTGACTCAGTGGTAAAGAATCTGCCTGCCAATGCATGAGACACAGGAGATATGAGTTTGATCCCTTGGTCAGGAAGATCCTTTGGTGAAGGAAATGGCAACCCACTCCAGTATTCTTGCCTGGGAAATCCATGGACAGAGGAGCCTGGTGGGCTACAGTCCATGGGGTCGCAAAGACTCAGACAGGACTGAGCACACATACAGCAACAAAGGCTAGATAGAATTCTAACTTAAGAATAAACATTGATTTATTTGGAAATAACCATACCTTGATGCAGCTGGATCAGCACTTCTCCTGGTGTCACCTGGGTATTAATTTCATTTTCACTTGGTTTTACATGCACAGAAGGGTATTCTATTAAATCAATGGAGCAGCCTTTGTGTATTAAATTGGAAACAATGTCACAACGTTCATTCTTTGATCCACCTGAAATGAAGTCCTGTTTAAAAGAAAGAAAATCACTGATGTTTTAGTGCATATCATCCTAGTTATAACCAAAGAAAACCACATAATGAGTACTACTACCAAGAAACCATCTTCCAATATTGTATAAATTATATGACTATTAAGAATAGCTGCATGTTTCCAATAAGAATACTGGCAAATCTGACTTAAATAAGTCTAATTTCTGAATCTTATTTTGAAAGAAAAATGAATATTAAAAAGGAGATTTAAACCAAGTACTTTAAATATCATTAAGTGATCACTGTAAAATTATACCAATTTAATTCTTTCTAAATATTTTACTTTGGAAATACTGCTCCAAAAGAAAATTTAGGCAAAATAGACCATTCATTGTGGTTCTGCATGTAAGCTTTAATTCTCAAAGAAGCCAACTGGTATGTTTACTATATTCTATTATGTTTGGAATGTGGGAGCAAGTCCTCAGAAATCATGTGCCTAATTAGGTACCAAAATTCATAAAATAATGAACTGGAAATCTATATTTCTTGGGCTGAAAATTCCCTCGCTTCTTATACACATAGTAGTATGTAAGTAATTCAGTAAACCAAGGAAGATGCTACAGTGAGTCTGGGAGATATAAAATTGCAGCTCAGATTCTCCTGATTTTGCACCTGAATCTTGAACTTTCATTATAATTTAGCATTGGTTAGTTCATGCTAATTCCATAGCCATCCAATAAACTTGGAATTAGTTGAGTAGGCTTAAAATTTATCTTGACTGAGAAAAATTTAATATTTTTATTTTTCATGTAACCAGTTTTTCTCCCTAAGACCAGGAAATGTATTGAAAAGTATAGAAATATATTTTACTATATATAATGTTTGCTTGAATTATTTGGGATATTTGCTTATGTATTAGCTGCATATTTGCTTAGTGATCTTCCTGGAAGTGGTTATTTTGATCTGGCATTCAGTCATTCCTTCTCTAGTTCAACTGATTCAAAAAATTGCATTTCCAATCAATTATTCATTTAATCAAATGAGTATTGATTGAATACTAACTCAGGGACAGTAGTTTTGTTAGGTACTGAGGATGCAGAACAGAACAAGACGGATAGAGTCCCTGTTTAAGTCAGCAGACCATCAGAGAATTCAGCCATTGAGTGAGTTAATGTAATTATCATAGGCATTAAATTTAGAGGAAGCAAAGAATGTCATAGTGTTATGGAGAAAGGAGATTATCAAGTTTAATATTACTTGAATATGAGATAACTAATTGTGAGTTCAAAAATCCCTAGCACTGATGAAGAATTAGATGGAATGGAGGTAGGCAGTATAAAAACATTCATATAAGGGTTTTAATTTAATTCTTCTCTCAATTTAGAACAAGGGTTGGAAAACTAGAGACAGTGAGACAAACACAACCATAGCTTGTTGATGTATGGCTTGAGTGTTAAAGAATACTTTTTAACATTTTTAAAATGCTGTAAAACAACAAAAAAGAAGGATGCACAACAGAGACAGTATGTGGCACAAAAATGTTTAGTATGTTACCCTTCACAGTACTGATCCTGAATTAGAGTGTGGTGCACAGTTATAATTAAAAGACAAGAAAGAATATGTTCTTTTCAGTCAAGATCTCCAGGTGTCATTGGTGAATGACTTCAAGGGAATAAAAAAAATTGCCTTGCTGATGGCCACAAACCTAGATTTTAGCCTGGAATTTAAAATGTTTAAAGCCTTATTTTCTCATTTCCAGATTTATCCTATCTGTTGATAAACCTTAGGGGTACAAAATGTAAGATTTAGTTCCTAAACAACTTGGAGCTACTCGAAGAAAAGTGGCACATACTGCTAGATTTATGGGGCTAGATGAGGGGATCTCATCTGTCCTTAGAGCCTGGGGAATACTGAGGGCATATAGGGCTTGGTACATGTATGTTCATTCATGCCTCCCATGACAGGCCACAGACCAAAGGCTACATGTGTTTTACAAAAGTAAAAACTGCAGGACTTCAAATTAGGAAAGTAAATAAGGTACAAATAACTCATATTTTTCTTTTCGGCCAGAATTTTGTGATTTTTATATATAGAATGAAAAAGAAGCAAGTGTGGTTAATTCATTGCAACTATACATCAAGCTATATCATTTGACCTTTAAATGTCAAATCAGTTTGCTGAAATAGGCAAAAAATCTCAATTGTTTTGCAGTGTCTGAATCAGCATGGCTGTTTTTACTTTACTATAAAAACTAAGTTAGAAGTATGTTGCCAATCTGACAGTTAGATTTGAAAAGGGAAGAAAAGATCGTGGCATCAAAACAAAGAATGGAATGTTGCCCCTACCCACTGTGGCCTACTTTCCACTTTGTATAAAAGAAAAGAATTTGAAACCACACCCTTTTAACATTTGGTGTTTTGAGTCATTTTAATGTCTTCTAATTCTTATATTTTACTCTTTTTTACAAGAAATACTCAAGCAAAATCATCCTCCCAACTGTCTGCATCTAAAACCTACTGGAGGATGAAACACCCAGGTTGAAGTTATTCCCCTAGTTGACTTTTCATCAGTTGTTACTTTCATCCCTTTTAATGTAATAGTCTGGAGATATAAATAGGAAAAGGTTTTTCTTGTACTCATTTCTGAGTCTTTTCTATGCTCCAAGCATGGAAATCTGCATAGAAATGAAAAGATTCTATCATTTTCCGTTTTAACAGTGAAAGCTCTTTGTATTGGGTTGGCCAAAAAGTTTGTTCGAGTTTGTCAGTAAGCTGACATGAAAAGCCCTAATGAACTTTTTGGCCAGCCCAATATTATATTTCAGTTTAATTTGAAACTGATTTGAAAACTTCTGGCTATACAATCATAAACTGTGTCTGACACATCAGGCAGAAGAGGAAGAGAAGCCCACATATGTTTGTCTCTTTTTCCCCACATAGATATCTCAAGTTTTTCACATATGTTAAAAGGAATACGAAACATTGAACTAGATAATATTAATACACTCTTGTCTGTCCTAAGTTATTTCCCAGTTACTTTTAGGTAACATGGAGAGAAAGAGAAGTCAAAATATATAAAATCACAGATTAACATGCTACACAAGAATGCAGACAAATTGATTATACTCTGTGTAAATTTTCTAGTGAACTTTTATTTTTGTCCAGCTTTGAGAATTATAAAAACCAGGCTTAAGTTATTTTCGCTTATCTTTTCTGTCATGAGCAGAGAAAAAAGTGAATCTTCCTTTCTTGTCTCTCTACCCTTGCTGGCTAAGAAATAAAATCATCAGTTGCATATGTGCCTAAATGGTGGGTGATCTTTCAAAAATAACCATAGCATTTTTCCTGTCAATGATATCAGGTCAGCATGTGGGGAGTGGATAGTTCCTTCTGTTAATGATATGGCCAGTGACTTTTTTTTTAAATTAATTAATTAATTAATTTATTGAAGGATAATTGCTTTACAGACTTTTGTTGTTTTCTGTCAAACCTCAACATGAATCAGCCATAGGCATACATATATCCCCTCCCTTTTGAACCTCCCTTCCATCTGCCTCCCCATCCCACCCCTCTAGGTTGATACAGAGCCCCTGTTTGAGTTTCCCAAGCCATACAGCAAATTCTTGTTGCCTGCCTATTTTACATATGGTAATGTAAGTTTCCATGTTACTCTTGCCTTACATACGTCTCCCCCTCTCCTTCCCTCTCCCCATGTCCATAAGTCTATTCTCTATGTCTGTTTCTCCATCGCTGCCCTGTAAATAAATTCTTCAGTACCATTTTTCTAGATTCCATATATATCCTTTATAATACGAAATTTACCTTTCTCTTTCTGACTTACTTCACTCTGCATAATAGGTTCTAGGTTCATCCACCTCATCAGAACTGACTCAAATGCATTCTTTTTATGGCCGAGTAATATTCCATTGTGTATGTGTACCACAACTTCTTTATCCATTCATCTAGGTTGCTTCTATGTTCTAGTTATTGTAAGTAGTGCTGCAATGAACAATGGGATACATGTGTCTTTTACAATTTTGGTTTCCTCAGGGTATATGCCTAGGAGTGGGATTTCTGGGTCATATGGTGGTTTATTCCTAGTTTTTTAAGGAATCTCCATACTGTCTTCCATACTGGCTGTACCAGTTTACATTCCCACCAACAGTGCAAAAGTGTTCCCTTTTCTCCACACCCTCTCCAGCATTTATTGTTTGTAGACTTTTTTATGATGGCCATTCTGACTGGTGTGAGGTGATGTCTCATTGTGGTTTTGATTTGCATTTCTAATAATGAGCAATGTTGAACATCTTTTCGTGTGTTTGTTAGACATCTGTATGTCTTCTTTGGAGAAATGTCTTTTTGGGTCTTTTCCCACTTTTTGACTGGGTTGTTTGTTTTTCTGGTATTGAGTTGTATGAGTTGCTTGTATATTTTGGAAATTAATCCTTTGTCAGTTGTTTCATTGCTGTTATTTTCTCCCATTCTGAGGGCTGTCTTTTCACCTTGCTTATAGTTTCCTTTGCTGTGTAAAAGCTTTTAAGTTTAACCAGGTCCCACTTGTTTACTTTGGTTTTTATTTCCGTTATTCTAGGAGGTGGGTCATAGAGGATCTTGCTTTGATTTCTGTCATCGAGTGTTCTGCCTATTTTTCCTCTAAGAGTTTTATAGTTTCTCATCTTATGTTTAGGTCTTTAATCCATTTTATCTTTGTGTATGGTGTTAGGAAGTGTTCTAATTTCATTCTTTTACATGTAGCTGTCCACTTTTCCCAGTTTTTGAAGAGGCTGTCTTTGCCCCATTGTATATTCTTGCCTCCTTTGTCAAAAATAAGGTATCCATAAGTGCCTGGGTTTATTTCTTGGGCATTCTATCTTGTTCCATTGGTCTATATTTCTGTTTTTGTGCTAGTACCATACTGTTTTGATGACTGTAGCTTTGTAGTATAATCTGAAGTCAGGAAGGTTGAAGTCAGCTCCATTCTTCTTTCTCAAGACTGCTTTGGCTTTCTGGGGTCTTTTGTGTTTCCATCTGAATTG